GAAAAAGCATGGACGGTATTATTCGACGGAGCCTCGAATGTGATGGGACATGGAATAGGGGCAGTGCTTGTTTCTCCAGGGAAGCAGTACATACCAATGACAGCAAGGTTGTGTTTTAATTGTACGAATAACATCGCAGAATATGAGGCTTGTGCTATGGGTATTCGGGCGGCGATCGAATCTAAGGCAAGAGTTCTAGATGTATACGGAGATTCAGCTTTGGTCATCCACCAATTGAAGGGAGAATAGAAGACTAGGGATACAAAATTAATTCCCTACCAGGCTTACATCAGGGGATTAATGGAGTTTTTCGATTCCATCACATTTAACCATATACCGCGAGAAGAAAATCAATTGGCAGACGCGTTGGCTACCTTGTCATCAATGTTCGAAATTGACCAAGATGCAGAATTACCAATGATTAAAATGAAGAGCCATGCAGAGCCAACATATTGTCATTTCATCGAGGAGGAATCAGCGGTAAACCTTGGTATTTTGATATCAAGCATTATCTTAAGACTCGAGAATACCCTGAGAAAGCATCTGAAAACGATAAAAGGTCGTTAAGGAGATTGGCTGGCAATTTTATCTTGAGTGGGGATATTTTATACAAGAGAAATCAAGACATGGTCCTCCTCAGATGCGTGGATGCAAAGAAGGCTGAGCTGATATTGAAAGAAGTGCACGAGGGTACCTTTGGCACGCACATGAATGGGCACTCGATGGCCAGGAAGATATTGAGAGCTGGTTATTTTTGGCTGACCATGGAAAGTGATTGTTTCATACATGTGAGAAAATGCGAGAAATGTCAGAAGTATGCAGATATTATCAATATGCCACCTACGACTCTAAGCGTGTTGTCTGCACCATGGCCATTTTCGATGTGGGGGATAGATGTCATTGGAGCTATAGAGCCAAAGGCGTCGAACGGACATCGTTTCATACTGGTCGCAATTGATTACTTCACCAAATGGGTGGAAGCTGCTTCTTACGCTAATGTGACTAGAAAGGTGGTGACCAGATTCATAAAAAGGGAATTGATCTGTAGATACGGGCTCCCTAACAGAATCATCACTGATAACGTACTAATCTGAACAACCAGATGATGGCAGAGTTATGTGAGGAATTCAAGATTCATCATCATAATTCTTCTCCTTATCGTCCAAAGATGAATGGGGCGGTAGAGGCTGCCAATAAGAACATCAAGAAAATTGTGCAAAAGATGGTGGTCACCTATAAAGATTGGCACGAAATGCTTCCTTTTGCTCTACATGGATACCGCACATCGGTGCGAACATCAACCGGAGCAACACCTTTCTCGCTTGTGTATGGGATGGAAGCAGTACTTCCATTCGAGGTGGAAATTCCGTCCTTACGAGTGTTAATGGAAACCCAATTAGAGGAAGCTGAGTGGGTTCAAGCTCGATTTGATCAGCTCAATCTCATTGAAGAAAAAAGGTTAACTGCAGTGTGTCATGGGCAATTGTACCAAAGAAGAATGAAAAAGGTGTTTGACAAAAAGGTGCACCCAAGAGAGTTTCATGAAGGTGAGTTGGTATTGAAAAAGATTTTGCCCATACAAAAAGATCATAGAGGCAAGTGGACCCCAAACTATGAAGGACCATTTGTGGTAAAAAGGGCATTCTCTGGTGGGGCACTGATTCTCACAAGAATGGATGGAGAGGAGCTACCGCTACCGGTTAATTCTGATGCAGTCAAAAAGTTTTATGAATGACGATTCCGTGATAGGAGATGCCAATAAAGGATATTAATGTTGTTTTTAAAAAACTTACTGCATTTTGTATCATTCAATAAATACCTCGTGTTTCCGTTTATAATCTTGTACTCGTTAGAATACTGCATATTACGTTGAGCTTTTAAGTAAATAATGGAAAATGAAAGCATCACGGGTATATTCAGCTGGCACAAACTCAGTCCTGAAGGATGTCGTAAATAAAAAAAAAAAAAAAAAAAAAGATTTACCTGAGTAACGTACATCATCTTCATTTCATATTACATTTATTCATTCGTAAAAAAAATAATAATAATAATAATAAATAAAAAATATATCTGCATATCAAATGTTGAGTCAATTATTTTCAATGCAAATCATCCACTTTATGACATTTCATCAAAAAATGTAATGAATGTCATAATCTCTTGTAGTCAAATGATCAAATCACATATTCTTAAGAAATATTTGTGTCTGCATTGCTTGAAAACATTATCCTTCAACCTTCACTAAACCAAAAGATTGACCCCAATCATGTTCTACAATCCAAATAATAAACACAAAGTTTTACACTGGGGCAGATTTTCCATGATAAGATTACCTCCATTGGCCTTCATGTGGAAGATCCTTGAATCCGTTAAAAAAAAAAAAGAGGAAAAGAAAAATGACTCTTGTGGGGATCATTTAGTTCTGTCCCCTAATTAATTTTGTGAAAATAGAACAATCAAAATTTGAAATGATGTGTGGCCATCTTTTTTCATCAAAAAAAAAAAAACAAAAAAAAACAAAAAAAAAAGAGATATATCCTTTGATCCCAAATTTGAGCCAATTAAAAAATTTCTTTTCAAAAAAATTTACCTAAGCAAGGGTTACCATCACAATAGAAGTCAACTCAAACTGCAAACAATAAAGAACATGCTTAGTGATCAAATGAAGAGAACTCATCAAAAGCAAAGCAAAATAGAAAGAATCACAAAGTGATGACAAACAAAGAGTGAAATTTGTGAAAGGGCAAAATAATCAAAACAGATTTGATGAATAGCTGATTACAAGGTGTGGATGGTAACCCTTGTTTCAAATAATGAAAAATCCACAAACATTTATTTGGGCCTTTATATCCTTCCTTTCAATACCCTTTAGCCCAAGCCACATTACAAGCTCAAGAAAAGTCCACACAGATTAAAAGATGGTTGTTTAAATTTTCATAAAGCTTAATTTTGAGACAAGACAAAATGACTAACAATGAGTTGCAAAGAAAAAAAAATGAAAAAAAAACCGATAAAAAAATGTTTGATGAAAAATGTCCTCGGAAGAAAGGAACTCCTTATTCATTAAGATTATATGAAGGAAAATCAAGCCAACTGGGGCAATCCTTCTAAGCCAACCATTTCCATATCCATCACATATTTTTGAACATATCACATTCAAACTCCTTCCCCGATTCCAAAACTTAGGGGGGCAGCTTTATAGGTTTTACAAAACCTTTTCGCCCGATCTCCAAAACTTGGGCAACTTTATGAGTTTCACATGTTTTGGCCCATTCAAAATATTGAGCAATTATGTTAATCTCAACTTTTTCATCTGCCTATTCAAAGCTCATACCAAGACTGGGGCATCCCTTGTTGGGCCTCGCATGATCTTGGTTTGCCCCGAACTTCAAAAATCTATCACCACCCAAAATTGGGGCAATTTGTAAATCTCACATGATATTCTCACTCCCTGATTCATAACTTATTCCCTCACATTCCTTTTCCCAAGTACCAAACTAGGGTATCCTTTGGGTATATCATATTACATCTTCATTGATGATTGTATGAGGAATGATATGCCCAAAAGGTCATCTCAATCTCCTCTAAACCCTGCCAAAAATCTTTCTTACCATTTTAACCAACCTCTCATATCAAGCATGTATACACAGGTATTTCATCAGATAATATCCAGCACACAAGCTTCGTTTTGAACATTTGACTGTAGAATTTGGACATCCATTGTAAAAAGAAAGTGAAAGTCTAAATCATCATAAATTTGATGATTTCAAAGAAAACAAATTGACCCAGTAAAAAAAAAAAAGAGGGGTGTCATAGTTTCATAATCTTCCATCATGGATCAAAAATCAACATCATGTACATATTTTCATGAATGTTTATCAAATCTTATTCTTTCAAAAAAGACAAAACAATCGACATGCATCAAAGTTTTCTCCTCCAATTTCAAAATTTACATCAACCATAGTTCTCTTACATATCGAGGTTTCAAAATCCTTGCCTTGTTTAATGATAATTTCAACCTTGTAAAAGAGTACAAAAAAAACCTTGTTTCTCATTTCATAAAAAATGGACACTAAGTTCTATCTCAAAAGGAAAAAAAATCATCAATAAAAAAATCAAAAATCAAAATTCAACATCTCATTCATTTCATCCATAGGGTTGGTACACCCTCCACGAGGTTCGTACACCTCATTCACTTCATCCATAGGGTT